TAAATAATCACATGATAAATTGAAAAAAGATCATAAGAAAAATAAAGATTCTTGAAAAAATATGATCGATTAGTTGGTTAATTATTATCCCTAACACACTGCACTACTACAATTACTAACCAGGCAATACAGTTCTGTGAATTTCTACTTATATAATTTATTTAGCGTGGGATAAATAGAATGTACGGTTAGTAAATAGGTAGTAATAAATGGTGAAATTATATTTAACTGTTCTGTATTATAAATAGAACTTACTATTGCATTCCCGTCATAACATTATGAAACATAAAACAATTAATTTCATCAATAAATTTACATAATGTAAAATCATAAGATAAAGTTTATTCAAGTCATGCGATTTCTGAATAATTTAAGCGCATACCGATTCAAGATGTTTATGTAAGGCGTAGAAAGTTTAAAACAAATAAATTATAATCAATTAAGTAGGATTGAAACACCTATTGCTGTCTAAGACTGGAGAACTGATATAAAAAAGATTATGAAAGGTTTGCGTTGTCCCGATAGTACTCAGAACTGAACTTCATTAATATCTAATGTCATAGGAGCATGGTTGACGGATATTCACTATAGTTACAAGTTTCATTATCTTATATCGAATGGAATTTCAAAAACGTTAAACTTTCAGAACTATCCAACGCGAAATTACTATTTATACTTTCATTGTATAGTTTTTAAATACTTAGACCATTTTTTACATTTACTTACGCCTGTTACTCCCAATGGAGCATAGGCCGCCGAACAACATTCTCCGACCCACTCTGTCCTGGGCCTTCCTCTTTAGTTCTATCCAATTGTTGTTCATTCTTCTCATGTCTGTCTCCGTTTCTCGGCGTAATGTGTTCGTTGGTCTTCCTCTCCTTTTTCGACCTTGAGGGTTCCATGTGAGGGCTTGTCTTGTGACGCAGTTGGGTACTTCCCTCACTGTATGGCCTATCTACTTCCAGCGCTTCTACCTGATTTCCTCCTCCTCTGGAATCTGGTTTGTTCTCTCTCACAGTAGGTTGTTGTTGATAGTGTCAGGCCAAAGGATCCGAAGTACTTTGCTTAGACAACTGTTAATAAACACTTTGTGAAATGCGATCGATAGACGAACCCACCAATAATAAGGGAAACGCCCACCACCACATTAACTCTTTTTGACCTTGTACGACTGTATCTCTTTATTAACCAATCACAGTTGATGTTCATTGTAAAACAATATTTGCTTGTTGACTCATTTTTCCTATTCTCTAGCTACTGTTCGGTATGTTATTTGTCTCTGTTTTTCCCTGTATTAATAGACCGTACTGTTTGTTTGTACACTAACGATGTTAATTTATGTTTTAGAAACAGATAAAGTTTATCTAGCCAAATAGCTTGCTTGTTCTGACTTTGGCTAAACCAAGACTCTGTATTCGACAGTCTAGAGATTAGCTCAGAGTTGAGTCTGTACGAAATTGCTTCCTACACACTTGTATCTTCTGGATGATGGTATTCATAGTTCTCCAAGTTTCGCCCCGTACACTAGGACTGTCTTGAGATTTGTATTTAAAATTCTGACCTTGGTGTTGATTGACAGTTGTTTTGAGTTCCAGATGTTTTTCAGTTGTAGATATGCTGCTCTTGCTTTGCTGATCCACGCCTTCACATTTGCATCAGATTCACCGTGTTCATCAATGATGCTGCCCGGATATGTAAAGTATTGCCATATTATCCTATTTATGAGATTGCGTTTAGTGTATTAATTGTAGACATATATTTTATCATTCCTAAGTTGTCGTTAATTGTTTATTCCTCAATTATTCCGATTGTTTATTACGTATGACACAGTTATGTATACACGATAATTTCTCATTTGTGCTAATGTGTGGTCAAGTAATTAATGTATACAATTCCATAAGTGTCTGAGTTATGATGACAGTAGAAGGAACCTGTTTGCTAACCTCGTCATATTATTGGAAACTGGGTTAGAAGCTCGTAAACCAGTATGTATTAGATTTTCTGTCTTTGAGTTATTGATCAGGAGATCATCGTGTTGTTGGCTAAACAGGTCATGGTCCCATAAGCAATAAAGAAATGAGTTGATAGACAGCTCGATAATACAACTGTTTCTATAATACACGGCCCAATCATATGAATATGATAATTTATTGCTTCTGAACTCATAACAATCATTGGGGGGGATTAAGGTTGGCAGTAGACTTTAGTCGCCAATAACGATAATCAGAAAACATAAGCCTTTGTGAACACTGTTGATGATGTACAATCCTCCAAATATGACTTATGAGAAAGGATACCAATGTGGATTTACGAGTATAATGTTAACTTAACATTTTCACTACATTACTATACAAACTTTCAGTTAATTTCTTGCTATGATTATAATCAGTAACAACGGTTAACTCCCAATCCGTGTAACTTATATATAACCGATGAACTTAAGTTGTATTTTTAATTCTAGTGGGGTGATCACCAACGAAGCGTTTATTACGAAACCGGTCTTTTTTCTCTAGTTAACAGCAAAGTAGAGAAAATAATAGAGGAAGTTTAGTTCACTAAATTGAAATTGGAGTTGAAAGCATGTAATCAGTTTAGCGCACGAATGTAACAAACATCTATACCGGATTACAGGCAAATTCAGCGGACGAGTACAAAATAAAACAAAACATATATGTTGTATTCCACTACTAGTCATAATCCAAAAAATATAATCAAGGTCGGTGACGTACAGAGGTAGTCTATGACAAATATTTGGATTTATTAAAAAAACAAGGTGAAATTGCATTAAACTATATTGGCAATATTGATTTTAACTTTTTTTAATATCACTGGTGGTACAATAAGCATTTTCTCCTCATTATCATACAGTTCTTTCACATGTTCTCAACCATTTAGTTCGACAAGTAAATTCACTTTTTGCAATCAACGAGCAAAACCATTCTACGCTTCAGTGATCACGTTTTAAAGCAAATCCTCACCACGAAATGACATCAACCGCAGAACTGTTGAAAACTAAGAAGTACTCGATAGCTAATTTTTCTACGTTTTTAGACATTTTAATAGTCAAATGCAGTGTAAGACCTGATCCATATATGTACACACGACTGCAGAAGTTCAATTTTAACGAGATAAGATTAACAAGATGGAAAGTAAAAGACTGTAGTCTCATTTGTAGTGGATGTGAGTAGTACTTGTTTCAACCAACTTAATCGGTGACTTAAGAAAATTATTAGCTAGTTTACACTCCACAGATATACTTCCTGTATAGATTTATTATACATGAGTAATGCCTCAAAGCTACTCATAATCAAGAAATTACACCTTACGCAACTCTTGTTTTCATGTAATGTATTTCACAATAAACTTCTGAGCAGTATATCCGGTTTTTGACAAGCATACAGATAATAAGAGTTCAATAATTTGATTCTTTATTAAATTAGTGTGAAGTTATTAACTTCTGGTCTGAGCCATGTTGGTAGATGCAGACTAATTGGTTGGGATCTGCACGACAATCGTAACCAGTGGTTGGAGACCCTGGGTGCTGCTTCTCGTGGCCTTGCCGGCGTAGGTATAGCATTGAGTTCTAGGGCAGGACTAAGTCTCTTAGACTGGATCACAGCAGACAGTCGTTCGTGCGCTGTAAGGACCCAGAAACATAAGGAGACTCGTCGTTGCCTCTTCGTCGTCTCCGCCTATTCTCCCATTGACTGACTGACTATGGAAGAGAACAAACCAGATTCCAGAGGAGGAGGAAATCAGGTAGAAGCGCTGGAAGTAGATAGGCCATACAGTGAGGGAAGTACCCAACTGCGTCACAAGACAAGCCCTCACATGGAACCCTCAAGGTCGAAAAAGGAGAGGAAGACCAACGAACACATTACGCCGAGAAACGGAGACAGACATGAGAAGAATGAACAACAATTGGATAGAACTAAAGAGGAAGGCCCAGGACAGAGTGGGTCGGAGAATGTGGTTCGGCGGCCTATGCTCCATTGGGAGTAACAGGCGTAAGGAAGTAAATAATAATACAATTTAAAGATCTTTCATTTTTGTTTACTTCATTAATTGTTGTAGAATATTCTTACATACAGTTTAACTTTTGCTGATGTTCTCATTTTCCTCTAGTTCCATATAAAGTACTATCACAAAAAGACTTTGTATTCTTTTAAAAAACGATTAATTTTAACCTTCCAAGTTGTAAAGAATACGCTACCACAAATAATTAACATACGACTTCTGATTTTCAACAACTAAGAACTCATGAAAACTACACAATTACATTGAGAACGAAAATAATCTGTGAATAGTTAGTTTTAGGCATCTCTTCTATAGAAATACAGGTATCTGAATAACATTACTGTGTGGGTTAACTATTGATTCTGGGAATAAAATATTTTATATTTTATATCACGAACTGACCTTAGTTAGATAACCATTAGAAACGAGAAAATACTAGACAGCCGTTTATTCCTGGCATGTAATTTCTAATTGATGAGTTACCACGACTTTGTGTTGGATCAAACGCAGGTTATTGAAGTTGCGCTGCGAGTGGTTAACCCTTAGGTTACTATCCTGACACACATTAGTTTATGTGTCTAACTCCACAATGCACACATTTAAACTCCATTGGTCACGGTTTCTCACTAGAACTCCTTGGGGATGTAGTAGTAAGTGCTGACAACTGAGTATAATGTAGGGGCGAAAGTCATAGAGTGATTTTTGGTTTTCAATAGTTGCATAACTAAGATCACTTTGTAATGTAAACAACGAAATGATAATAATAATAATAATAATAATAATAATAATAATAATAAACTTAAAAACTCTGGGGCATAGGGATAGCAGAAGCATGCACTCACAAGAAGTTATAAACTTGGACGAAACAACCATCTATCTAATACTAGTCTGTGATAAAAAATAAAAGACTTTTTCGATTACAGTCATAAACAAATACAACATATCTGTGTATTTACATAATGCGAATAAAAAAAAGCACTTACCATAGCGTTTGCACTCAAACGATTCATAATCGATGTAAGTATATGATAAGAATCATGTGATTCGGTGATAATGAATTTCAGAAATAATTTAATCATTGAAGGTTCAGTTAAACGACGCAAGAACAATTCCAGATAGGCTGTGGCTGCAATTACTTCGTCCATAGCACTCTTTAAATAAAAGCGATAGTAACTATTATATAGATACAATTTTAATCACATGCTAATTAGTTACATGTGAATAAGTGTGGCATACGGTACTTTGAGAACTATTCTACGGATAGATTACAATAAACATTTCTATGATGTATGTGGTAAATATTTGATTTACGGTACTTTTATATCGCCCTAATTGCAAGTTTCCAACTAGGTAGCTAATCATAAGCTATAGTTAATTATTCCCCTGTTACTCAATTTTATAAAATCCTACTCACACTTCCTCGAGGTCCCCCTGAAGAAAGTGAAACTTTAATCCATGAACGTAAGTGACTGAGTGCAAATCAGACGAGTTCCCTACTCCGTCGTAAACATGGATTACATGAAGGGATTGTGGTAAGGACTTATGTGATATTCGGAGCTTGAAAAAATAAGCTTCTCGTTTCTTCTCCTAACCAGATTATCTCTACGAAGCCCCATTAGGTTTGGTAAAAACCAGAGCGATGACCATAAACTGTGTCGTAACTAAAGCACAATATTCGACACTCAACTTAGTTGTGGTATGAGCATAGAGTTGATCATAAACAGACTAATTTAATCAAGTGACTTGAAAGCAAGTACATTAATCATTTCCCACTGTGACTGAGATCTAGCCTGGAGGCAACAAAAGCAAATTAGATCCACACCTGTGTGTATACTGTATATGCGAATGATATCCCGTTAACTGAGTATTTAAGGTAGGCTAAATCTCCTAGTAGAATTATGGATTTACTTGAGATTATTCAGAAGCCTGAACACCAGTTGTAGAGATATTTTTATTGTTAAAGATAAATAAAATCCACAAGCATACAGCAAGCAAGTACACAGTGAAACAAAGAGTGTGTGTGTGTGAGTGTGAGTTTTAAAAAATCCATATATGTTTATGAGTGTTAATCAAGTGTGGATAAATTATTGATTACCTGTGTGTTACAATTAATGGGAGAATAGATTAAGATTGATGTGCAAACACGCGCTCAATCATATACACACAGAAATTAACATAGTGAATTGTCTAAATTACAGTGAGTAGACAAATAATACAATGGTTGAATGGGCTTACTACAATACTATGGAGTGTAAAGACTCTGGTTTATGTATCATATATATACATGTAATATATATGTGCGGTGTTATCCACATTTCATACTGATGTACACATTATCGCTCACAAAGCTCGTGGCTTACTATGAAGTTTACTGATAAGGGTGCCCCCAGTAAAGATATACAGAAGCAGACAAGTAATGTGTCCGTCTCCTTCATAAAGTATGGTTGAATAGAAATCCTCAATCTATATGAACTGTACAAAGTAAGCTGCTAGCGTGCCAATTGCCTTTATCTTCAGTGCTCCAGTCTTGCACATCTTTACTGAAGATATTTCTTTTCTCGAGTACCCGATAGGCGTTCGTACTTAGTTGGAAGGAAATTAACTAACTAACTAAATAGCTGTTACTCAATCTGGTACCACAAACGACCGTGTTAAGAGCGTGAACTAGTTGGCGTGGTGTTTTTGCAATTTATGCATATGATTAAGATCTTTTGAACCACATAATAGAAAGTAAATGGCTGGCTAGGGGGTAGGAAGTCATATATATATATATATATATATATATATATATATATATATATATATATATATATATATATATATATATATATATATATATATATATATATCTGAGTTAACATGCTTAGTGGATACAAGTCAAGCGAATGTCATTAGTGTTACTTGACGTGAGCGGTCTCATCACCAAGGCTTAAAAAATTAGGTGAGAATATAGAAGTTGAATTCATAACAAGATCAACTTAAGATAGGACATAGTGGGAACATAAAAGGCATCAGACTGTTGTTCATCCTAATTCAAGGCTCAGCAGCAGCACAAACGTAATTTGGTCCAATTACGATTTTCTGAAAAAATACATACTATAATCTTAAACAATTGAGAACAGAAAGTTCTAGAGAATCAACAAATAACAATCATCTATATTGTAAATAGTAGTAATGGTAATATTTGAGTTGAACTGCAGCTCTTCTTCTTAGTTAACTAAAGCAAAGAGTTTACTGTAAAACCCAAAAAGAACAGTTAGAATCTGCTTTAGGTTTAATGTAAGTTTGAATTTTGAATTCCTATTCATTTAATCATGCTCTTTAGAGAATAAATAACAAGTTCATTTATATTTTAATTTATTTCGAACAGTAGTTAGAAAACCACTTTCAATAAGCCACTGTATAAAAAAGCAACTAAACTTTAAGTGAAAGAAAATAAGAACTATAATCATTCAAAGTCACTGTGGCGTGGGTTACTTATAACCACATAAGTAGTATATAACGGTGGTCAGGCATAGAATGTATTTCAGTAGAAGATCGATAAGGAAATAACGGAAACACAACGCAATTAGTATGAAAATGCATAAATAACAAAATCTGAGACAATGGACTGATATTTGCAGAGTAACAGTTAAGTTTGAGACGATGGATTGATATTTTTCAAACTAATTATTTACTATATGGTTCTCAGATTTCATTGAGATGCTCTGCAATTTCGTGTCAAACACATTCGATTATCCCCGCTTGTGTTACTGTTCACTAAAATCCCTATCGAGAATCATAGTGAATTCATCGAGAAAGTCATCAAAAGCTAAGAATGAATGAAAATACTTTGTTCAATTAGCGTTCAATACAAACTCTCAGTTCTAAAAAGACAATGAATTATATCTCTCAACATCCTGATTGAATAATTACCAATTTTGTTATTATTTTAACATATTTTCAGAAACTTGGGAAAAGTTACATATAAACCTGTACAAAAACTAATGTTAAAACTAATATATCATACTCTTCACTTGTTGTCTGATATAGATTTCCGAAGGAACATGATGCAATAAGAAAGTCAATGTCAAAGGTTCAAATACCAGACATATCAGTCATTATCAAATATATTGTGAAGAATCTCAGCTTTTTTCATCAAATCTACAAACCAGTAACTTAAAAAACCATTATTAGTCTGGAATTTATAGTTCAAAGTTAAATAACATCCTGTCAATTGTAGATGTTAGTTTATTTAACTTCTAATTACAATTGAACATTTGTACAACCGAAATGCAACGCAGAGTAACCATATAAGATTTGATGTAAGAAATCGTAAACAACATTTATTATAAAAATATTAACAATGTTACTTAGTGGTTCGAACTGCTACGACAACCGTAGTACGTTGTACAATGAATGAGCAACAATAAACATACCTGATGTAATGCAGATCCTAAAACAGGAACCAAGAATCCAGAATGAATAAAATATAGTAATTGGTCACGAACATGAGGATGTGCAATCTAAATAAAAAAACAGAAAAAAAGGTATATAAAAATAAACTTGACTAGTAAATATAATAAATTTGTAGGTATGTGCCAAGTAACAGTTCTACTAACACCATTTAGTACAAAAGATAAGATATTAATTGGAAGTAAGTGTTTGTAATTTCTAGCAAAGATTATTTGACCATTTTGACTAAGGTATCGCAATACTATTAAATCCTATAATCTAAAAAACAATTGGACAAGGTGCGTTACAGTCATAAGTACTTCAGACTGATAACCAATAATGGAATTTCCAAAAATTTAAATTAGCAAGTTGTAAGCATTTATTAGTATATTCACTTTGTATTATTTGTTTGAATCTTCTCATTGATGCTTAGGATTTCAATCGATCAGTTTCTTACTGGCATCCTGTACGGATTGCTTCGATATTGCGTTAAGTCACAAGCATTATAAAAAAAAGATGAATGATGGCTAGCAGTGGAATCCAGGACGTGTGTTTCGTCCTATTTGGGACCTGGATTGGTATATATCACCTGCTAATCAGCTAATCAAACACAATTTTATTTTACAACGCTATGACTAGTACGAAGGCATTAAACATTATTTCAGTCGCTATTCTAGAAAATAACAAAACTTTAAACTTATCCCGCCTTCTCTATGTATAATTTTTACTATTATACATTTTCTAATCTAAAAAACATAATTCCAAAAGAACACACATCAAAAGATGGCAGAGATCAATTTGTAAAATATACATGAGTTATTATATTTCACAGAGACTGAAGTCAATATCGACCATGGGATGATTAAATATTTTTTTTAAATGAACAAAATATGATATCTATACTTGAAGCTGTCAGTATAGTTGAAAGATTCCTCTTATAGAGTAATATTCCAAGACAAAGAATGTTCGAACAAACGATCGCTCTTAATAATTTACCTTATCATCAGATTTTACGATAATGAATCCATAATTGTTGTAATACAGATGTCAAAAATGAAGTATATATAGACAAGTTGTAAGTGAACTATGCAATATGTGAACTTTAGCATAAATTACATCTCATATACGTTAAAAATGTCATTTGTAAATTTGAAAGGTCATTTAATAAAAGGAGTAGGTAAGTTTGTTGTACACTGTAGAGCTACAATCGATATAAATCATGTGGAGAAAATGCACAGTAAGAGAAATGTCTGGTTTATTGAGATAATAATAATAATAATAATAATAATAATAATAATAATAATAATAATAATAATAATAATAATTCAGTCATGTGAATAAAACAAGCAATAAGAGAAATGTTGTCACAGTAACTGATATGAACTGAGAAACATCAATGAACATATCAAGAATGGGACAGAACGAAGATTGATGAGGCAATGGTTTATAATGTATGGTTTATATATGAGGTGAGGCAATGGTGGATAATAACAAAAAGAAAGATTAAATATTCCTCTATTGCTAAACATATAATTGAAACAGGTCACAAGATTGATCTAAATTCAGCTTTTGTAGTGCTGTATAAAAGTGTAAAAGGGCGTATACTAAGGTTCATTGAAGCCTTAGCCATACGAAAATTCAAACCCCCTTTATGTGTTCAAAAACAGTTTGTTCTTACCTTAAACCTACCCTGGTAATATTGACTTATTATCCAGAGTGATTAGGTTACGCTTTGTGTTCACATTATTATTATTATTACTCTTATCATTATCCTTATCTCCTCTTACCCCATTTCCTGTCTAGTTGACCTTTTATTTTTATATATAAATGCTCTTAACAAGTATATGTGTGATCAGATTGTTCGAAATGTATTGCGCTAATATATCACATAGTTCTGATAATCTTCGTCTTCTCATTGCATTATCGAAATATTCCTCTGATGTATATATAAGTTTGATTTTTTTGAGTTAATCCTGATAACTTTCATTATATAGAAAAGCCGTAATCTTGCTAATTTATGTGAACTATTTGGGGGTCAATATAAAAACGAAAAGAAATAGTCTTTTAATGTATTGTTCGCTGTCTATCAAGTGAGGAAGGATGGTGCTGTTAACAGATTTCGTAAGTCATTTTTCCAACCATACTAGAACAAGTTCACGAGCACGCAATGATAAGGCTCTTTGAGTACGGTCTATTCAACTAGCTCTACAGCAACTATCGTTTAATTACAAATACGTAGGGCCGAAATGTATGTAACATATAATTGCATTTCTAGTAGTGAACAAATTCAAGCCATTTGTTTGAGTTCTGTTTATTGAGTCTGTTTACTCTTTAACTGTTTAGTACATTTGAAATGTCTCTTTTTGTCGATTGCTTTCAACTAATTGATAACAGTAACAGCACTAAAGTAGTTAATCTAATTTTAAACATTTGGGCTTTTAGGTCATTCTCAATGAGATAAAAAAGACTACTAGTTACTAACAATGACGACGGTATAAGTGTCAATGAGATAGTTAACTTCCCTTTATAAAATTATTCTATCAGGATCATGTCTAGCATGAAAGAGAAACGCTTGCGTAATGAAATCTAAGCCATCAATGCATTAGGCATAAACATTGCTAAAGGTTTTAAAAATGTTAGTGAAAAATACACTAGAAAATGCATACATCTTTCTTACTTTAATAGTCAGGTTACAAAAATGTAATGTATGTAAAAATCGGCGTAGATCGATTGAATTCGAACATTCATTCTCGGTTATCTGATGCCATTCAGCTCCACCAACTTGTAGTTCCAACAGACATGGGTTGAGTAAATCTGATTGAATATAGATTGGTGTAGTTACAGAAACTGGACCTCCGGGAGAATTTAATGAAATATTACCGTTATGATTTTGACATAGGCCATAACGTGGAACTAACTTTTTTGGTAGACTAGAATACAGACCACTTAAACCAGTAGCTAAAATCTGAAGTACAAAACAACAAAACAAAACAGCCAATACGTAATTCCGACCCAATTAATTGTGCTATAACAAAATTAACAGAAGACACACCCAAATATCGGCTGAACGCATACATGAAGAAAAATATGATCAATATTATAACAGACGGACTACGATAAGACAGAAGTGACATTGTATGCACCATTTTATTGGAAAACTGACCTGGCTCTAACAAAAACAACCCTATTTGTAAATACATACATTAATAATTTAGTTACTTCTACATAACAAGGCAAAAGCTAACTGATTAAAGAGCTTTTTTAACTACTGAGTTAGCAGGTCAAACACATAATGCACTCATTTAGGTTTTAACAGCTAGTTAGTTTCATTTGAGGTTCGCGCATAAATGGCTTAAAGATTAATACATAAGCTTATACTTGACAAATGATTTGCAGTAACCCTGGTGCTAGGTTAGCAAGGTGTACCTTCAGTCTTCAGGGAAAATGGTGTTCCGTGTGGAACTAGAACTAGATCCACCCACTTTCCCAGAGTGAAACCTGCCACTGAGCTATTCAGGCCAAGACTTACCTCATGTAGAACTGAGATGTTTAAAACTGGATGATTACTACGTAGTGGCCAATGTCATGTTTGCCTACTCTTTTGACACAGATCGAATACCAGAGATTAAGTTGAAACTGCTTGATGTGGGTCCAAAGCCCACAGAAAGTATTGGGTCCCTCAAGACTTCGTGTACACCTTGCCGACGATTACAAACTGGTACGAAACCTGTGCCAATACAGGGCCTCCTGTCGAATACCTCCAACCATCTAACATCTTGACATAGTACAGGCGATGTGTCACGTCACTTAGACTGGTGGACATATTGTAACTTGTTGACCGATATAATTCGATCAGTACTGAAGGACTAAACAAACATGATATTTGTTAACTAGTTGTAAAGTTAACACTACACAAGGTTACAATATAATATTTAGTCTCCATCATAACTTCAGGATATTCGTCATGAAATAGCCAGTAGTAGGCATATAGTCATTACTTAGTGCGTTGATAAGTATTGATGATAAGAAAAGAATTATATGCTTATATGTCGCACTTTTACCAACAGAATCAAATTTTTTAAAAATGACTCAAAGGCGGTTCTTCGGGGCAAGAATGAATAACTTTAACAAAGGGTTGGTGAAAACTTCATATATAGTCCTGAATTCTTTTCTATATGGAAATTTGTGCTTTGAATGAAATTGCATGACCCATTTTTATTATGTAACAAGTTATAAAAGGATGATTGTCTGTCACCCAACTTCATTGAATTTTCATAATCCCAGTGAATTTAAAGTGGTGTGGGCCTATGTTTCTTCAATCACTATTGCATACTTTGAACGATCACTCACTAACTTCAATGTGTTCGTACATTCATGGACTAGTAAATATGATCTAATGCAACGTAACCGTTTGTATGATGTGCTGAAATATATCTTTTTAAACCCCGACCCACTTAATTTGATTTGAGGAACCGAAAGGTGCCATTACACCTCATCCAAAGCAGCTCAAAGATACGTACACAAATCTGGAGTTAATAAATCGCACATATAGGAAAGAATTGCAGACGAAACGTTAAATCCCTAGGAGACATCGCACCATAGATCTTCCTAAAAACAAAAATGTAACTCATGAACAAGTAGTACACAGACCTGAGTTCAGAGATAACGCCTTATATAACCATAACCAACTTACCGGACATATATCAGATTCATATGCTAAATATTGACCAAGACAATCGTCTTTATTAGAAAGTCCAAATATGATTAAGAGTGAATCTCTAGCTGAATCCCCCAACGGGTCATTTAGATGTACTAATGGAACAAGCAATGAAAATATCATATACGGTTGGTTGAAAATTTCTTTGCATAACTAAAATAAACAATAAAGATATCCAAATTCATGATTATGATCAATGACTTAAAATCACAAATCAGTCAGTCGCAACGTAGAACCTTAGTACATCGGTTCAGGTGTCCGTATCTCATTAGAACAGATAGACGAAATTGTCAGGTCAAATCTTAGAATAGTAAAGGAAGTAAAAGTGCTGAATGACACGGTACATTGCCTCACCGGGCGACACCTGACGTGAGGACGTCCTACTCACTGCTTTATTGTTGTTTACGAAATCGAGAGGACAAATAGCGAATGCCAGGCGCTTTAACCGGGTTGGTCGATATGAAGGATCAACCTAGGAGAGTTGGAAAACCCTCATTCCAAATCAACGGTGCACATAGGCTCTAGAATCCTGAAGGAACAAATGTTGTATGAGCTAATCGTTGGTCACCGGCTACCATGGGACTGTATCTCCTTACGTTTCTCTATTGCCTTGTGGATCAGACCCTTAGGTCGAAGGCTTCGAGTTTGGCACCCTAAGAAAACCACCTGCTTCGATCTGGGCACCCGGGCAGTATCACAGCTCATACACAAATCAAGTGACTTGTATGGCACATATGTATTCGGTACCCCTTCGTACCAATATTTATGTGTTTAGATAAATAAATAAGTGGTAATTGAAAAGATTAGGCATCGAAGATATGATTAGAAAATATAAATTGGTGGGGTAAAAACACAAAGAAAGTTGTCAGGAATTTAGAAGCTCAAAAAGTGGAAGAAGACAGAGAATGGGTGCACTTGGACCATTGCAAACGATTTTACGTCATGTAATTCAAAATATTTAACCACTGGTCATGATAATCACGCAGACCCCATCCAGATAGTCTACAAAAGTGGTTTAAGTTTATCCAACTGTTAAATTTATGACAATGTACAACAGTTATCAAATGTTTCTAGGTTATCCCTATCATTCCTGTCAACTTTACTGACTTCAAATAGTACAGTTCCCGACACAACTTCATTCTAAAGTTGTCAATTGATAAGCCTTGGATGTCAATTCCAATTACTCGGATCAATAACTTCTTGACTGGTCAGATATTTTAAAACATCTAACAATAGAAGCGATGAACTTTGGCTAGTGGTTGAATCTAGGACCCAGGTGTCCTACTATTACGACTCGTTAGTTGGATGTACCTGGATCGCAGTGTTGATGTTCACGCTGAAACTCATGTATGATGTGAGACTTAATTAGTCGTTTTATTATGAAGAAAAGTACGACACAGGGTAACGTTAATATATTCAGAAGTTAAATCCAATTTTCATGAACCGTGAAATGATATTTCACTAGTCGCAGTATTATTGTTTAGAAATGGGATTGACACTGGGCATGAAGTCAGCAACTACATCAAGTAGAAAGCAACTTTGCTAGAGAAACTCTAACCAGAATAAGCAATTTAAACCATTTAAACTATGTCCTGGGAGCTGAAGGATCTTCATGCGGAAGAAATATGATGCCTCATGAAGAAAGCCGAGATTCTTAGGAAATCACGAAACTGATACCTCTTATCAAAACCAGAAAAACATTCAGTATATGTACATGGTATGTCCAAACAATGTAGGATACTGGAAGGACCGATCAAATAGCTACTGAAATAAGAAGATATAACTCGTAGGTTCTCGGAATCAGTGAAACTCATTGGACCCAAACTCGACAGATTCGGGAGAGATGCTGCTGTACTCTGGTCACGAAGAAGAAAATGCTTTTCACACTGAGGGAATCGCTCTGATGCTATCCAAAGAAGCACGAAATGCACTTATAGGATGGTAATCTCGTGGATCTATAACCATCAAAGCATCCTTCAAAACAAAGAAGGAGGGAATCACAATGAATATTATCCAGTGTTAAGCACCAACCAATGATAGTAACGACGGCAATAAGGATCGGTTTTATGAGAGAGGTTGCAGTCGATTGTAGAGAAGTGTTCAGGAAAGGAACTGACCATCCTGATGGGAGATCTAAACGCCAAAGTCGGAATGGACAACACCGGTTATGAAGATATCATGGGACGACATGGATTGGGAGAAAGGAACGAAAATGTAGAGAGATTTGCAAACTTATGTGCATTCAACAAAATGGTTATGGGTGAAACTATATTCCCCCACAAACGCTTACACAAGGCTACATGGATCTCACCGGATCACAATACAGAGAATCAGATCGATCATATTTGCATCACTAAAAAATTCAGAGGGTCAATGACAGAAGTGAAAACCAAGAGAGAAGCTGACACAGCTTCAGATCAACACACAATTTTGGTCAGGATAAAACTGGAGCTAAAGAAGCACTAGAACACTGAAGAGACAGTGTTACAAATGTTTGATACAGCCCTTCTTCGAGACACTGACAAACTCAATGGATTCCAGATAGCTCTCAACAACAGGTTCCATGTCTTACAGGATCTACTTACAGAAGAAGAAACTACTATGAAGGACAACCAGAAGGGGGTCAAGGAAACATTAACTCCGACGTGTTAGGAGGTTCTGGGCCGCAAAAACCATCACCATAATAAACGGATCTCTATCGAAACCCTGGACAAGATTCAAGAAAGGAAGGACAAGAAAACTGCAATTAACAATAGTCGAACAAGAACAGAGAAAATCAAGGTACAAGCTGAATACACTGAAGCAAACAAGCAAGTGGAGAAAAGCATGAGAGCCGACAAGCAGAAACACGTGGAAGAGCTAGCAACGACAGCGGAAAAGCTTCAAGAGAAGGAACCATGAAAAAAAACTATATGACACGACGAAGAAACTGGCAGGGAAATATAGTAGACCACAAAGACCGGTTAAGGACAAAGGAGGCAGGCCGATCACTGATATTCAAGAACAGAAGGACAAATGGGCAGAACACTTTAAGGAACTCTTGAATAGACCAGCTCCACTGAATACAACGGGAATCGAAGGTGCACGCACAGACCTCCCCATAGATGTAACTCTACCGACGATTGAAGAGGTCAGGATGGCCATTAGACAAATCAAGAGTGCGAAAGCAGCAGAACATGACAATATACCACCTGAGGCACTGAAGTCACACATAGAAGTAACTACAAACATGCTCCACACTCTGTTCAGGAAGATTTAGAAGGAAGAATAAGTGCCGATGGACTGGAAAGAAGGACACTCCACCAAGAAACCAAAGTAAGGAGATCTGAGCAAGTGTGGGAACTACAGAGGCATCACACTACTGTCAGTACCAGGAAAGGTTTTCAACAGATTGTTGCTGAACTGGATGAAAGACTCAGTAGACACCCAACTTCGAGATCAACAAAACGGATTCCGTAAGGATCTCTCGGGCACAGACAAAATCATGACACTACAGATCATTATTGTGCAATCAATTAAATGTGATTCGTCACTGTAAATCAACTTCTTCGACTATGAGAAGGCGTTTGACAGTGTGGGTAAGAGGACATTATGGAAACTTCTTCAACACTATGGAGTGCCTGAGAAAATCGTCAATATTATCCAAACTTCATACGACGGACTACAATGCAAAGTCGTGCATGGAGGACAGCTGACAGATGCATTCAAAATGAGGACTGCAGTCAGACCAGGCTGAGTACTCTCCCTCTTCCTCCTTCTTCTAGTGATTGACTGGAATATGAAGACCTTGACATCAGACGGGAAGCATCATTAGGTCTCAACATACACAAAGGAAAAAGCAAGATCATCAAATACAACACAGAACACCAGCGTAATCACACTTGATGGAGAAGCTCTGGAAGATGTGGAATCTTTCACGTACCTGAGCACAATAATCGATAAAGAAGCAGAATCTGATGCAGATGTAAAGGCACAGATTGACAAAGTAAGAGCAGCACTTCTACAATTGAGGAACATATGGAACTCAAACGGACTGCCAGCCAACATCAAAGTTGAAATTTCCAGTGCAAACATTAAGATAGTCCTACTGTACGGTGTTGAAACCTGGGGGACCACCATAATCATCGTTAAAAAAGTACTGGTATTTACAAACAGCTGTCTACACAAGATACTCTAGATCCGTCAGCTGAATACTGTTTGCAACAAGCTACTATGGCAGAAGACAAACTAGCTTCCAATGGAATATGAAATTAGGAAACGACGCTGCAAGTGGATAGGACATATATCACGGAAATAATCAAACTGCATCACGAAGCAAGCGCTGACTTGGAGACCAGATGGGAAGCAGAAAATTGGAAGTCCAGCGAACACTGTGAGTCGGGAATTGGAAGCATATATGAAAAGGATGAATAGCAACTGGAAACAGCTAGAATGAGGGCATTGGAAATCTCAACTTTGATGTTGGCTTGCAGTCCGTTTGAATTCCATATGTTCCTCAATTGTAGAAGTGCTGCTCTTACTTTGTCAATCTGTGCCTTTACATCTGCATCAGATTCTGCTTCTTTATCGATTATTGTGCTCAGGTACGTGAAAGATTCCACATCTTCCAGAGCTTCTCCATCAAGTGTGATTACGCTGGTGTTCTGTGTTGTATTTGATGATCTTGCTTTTTCCTTTGTGTATGTTGAGACCTAATGATGCTTCCCGTCTGATGTCAAGGTCTTCATATTCCAGTCAATCACTAGAAGAAGGAGGAAGAGGGAGAGTACTCAGCCTGGTCTGACTGCAGTCCTCATTTTGAATGCATCTGTCAGCTGTCCTTCATGCACGACTTTGCATTGTAGTCCGTCGTATGAAGTTTGGATAATATTGACGATTTTCTCAGGCACTCCATAGTGTTGAAGAAGTTTCCATAATGTCCTCTTACCCACACTGTCAAACGCCTTCTCATAGTCGAAGAAGTTGATTTACAGTGACGAATCACATTTAATTGATTGCACAATAATGATCTGTAGTGTCATGATTTTGTCTGTGCCCGAGAGATCCTTACGGAATCCGTTTTGTTGATCTCGAAGTTGGGTGTCTACTGAGTCTTTCATCCAGTTCAGCAACAATCTGTTGAAAACCTTTCCTGGTACTGACAGTAGTGTGATGCCTCTGTAGTTCCCACACTTGCTCAGATCTCCTTACTTTGGTTTCTTGGTGGAGTGTCCTTCTTTCCAGTCCATCGGCACTCATTCTTCCTGAAAAATATACCTGAAATACATCCATTATACCTACTATGTGAGATGTTGGAGAATTGTTGTTGACTGATATAGTATTTTCGACTGACTTATTTTAAGAAGACGGTGTATACCGTATGAAACACTGAAAGATTATTCAAGAAAACTAAGATGAATACTTTTTCATCCAATTTATCCATTGGTCACAATAGTTTGGTTGATTTACTATTCATGTTAAAAATGTGGAAGTGTATTACGACGGATGGTCGATCGGTCTTTGTTAAAATTTAGATTTTGTCCAATAATGATGATTGAAATTTGAGACCTTAATTTAAACCGATCTCAGATTTTTTATTCAAACGCTTAAGTTAATAGTCTCAAGTTGAAGTCTAGAGTTGAATATTCTTGATAATAAATAAGAAAGATCGAATGGTAATAAAGAATGGAAGATGTGGGGAATTTACAGAATACCCACTGATAGTTCTATCTACCCTAGAACAATCAGTATAACTAGATGAACAGTAATTTTTACCGTAATATAGAATCGAGCTGAAATTCTGTTGGAAACCAAGAAACATTAGACAGGTTGTAAGTCATAGTTCTAGGCTCGATTTTGTGTAAAGAAAGTAGGTGCAAGGTGTTGAGAAACTAAGCACAAAGATGAAGCAGTCGTCTAATGCTTTTGACTTACAGTGGTTCTCTAGCTCATCAAAGTTCGTGATCAAAAATATCTGAAAATGAATAGGGCTAAAAAACAGCTAAATTTAGTTTTCCTGCACCAGTAAGTCTACAATGACTACTACAATCATTTTTTTTCATAATTACATATGTTAAAATTTTAAAAAACGTAGGTTACTAGAAACTTATTAGCTGCTTACAGATTCGTATACAAGTGATAGCTATTCCTAATAATGAGAGCGTTAAAGATACTTCCTAGATTACTTAAAAAGTACAGGACTGATAATATTAGGTATAATAATTTAGAATGTCTCCCACAAGTAACAGTTCAATTTATCACACTCCGAAATGAAGTATAAATGTTTAAAGAATACAGAAATAAAAGGATTTCAGAAGAGAAAGCAGGAGAGAAGGGAAAAACAAACGAACATTAAAATCATTAGGATTGAAGGAGAATCCGTTCTAAACGATGTCACTCATGGTCTAGTACCACTGATTTGCCATATTGGGAAACTATCACATCTACCTACAATACTTAAATCGACAGACTTTAGTTTCTATGGTCTGATTCTATATCTTAATCTGTTCATCTTCAGTGCTTTGCCAATTTAGTTACACTTCAACAAGCATCACAGACTCATTTAGGTGGTGACTTGGCATCTGTAACTAATCCCCCAGCTACCACATCATCATATTAAAGCGAATGAGTGTTAACTGATGAACTTTAACCACATAAAGCTAGTCTCTTTAGAAGTTAACAATTTGATCTCTAACATATACACACAAAGAAGTAAATATAAAATTATCAAATGCTTACTTCTTTACTAAACTCCAACAACTGAAAGTTTCTACATAACAAGATGCAAACTTCATGTAATAAGTGCCCATAGACTTGATCATAACTAGGCCGTAACTGTGAGGATAATTTGAATAAAAATTGGCATAAAGGTTGAAGAATCGGTCTATAAAGCAAAACATTCTGTTTCGATTGTGTTATTAACTGTTCAAAAGCAGTAATTAAATGTCTTCTTAACACATCACGAGTACTGATAGATTTTTCATCTTTTGGTGTTGGATTTCCTTCGATCCAAATGAGGAGTAATTCAAAAATATTATTTTTTATTATTGTTTCAAGATATGAACCTTCTACTAGTTTGTTTCTTTCTAGAGCTTAAAAAATACATAAAATAGGTTCCAATAATAAAATCCATTGGTAAATCAAAGCTATAAAAGTAAAATGGGTTTTAAAAAATGATACGTACTTTGACCTTTAGACTATTGTTCACGACACCAACCGACTGACCTTAACGTGGACCAGAGACCCAGATGTTTAGTTGTGCAGTTCATAGATTAAATCATCGCCCAACACACTTAAGTTTTAAATACATGTTTGCTAGCCCTCATAAAACAAATGTAGTTTATCACCAAATATGAGAACTCGAAGTTGGTTGGATTGTTCTGTTTTACCACTAACATCAGACACCAAACTACGATATTAAACTTGAGTAGCTTAATTACCCATGAATCTAGTCAGTAATAAACAGATAAAATATTTTACCGAGATCTAGTTAAGATTCAGATTACCCTTTCTTCCTTCCTAGTATATGGTGGCTAATTTTCGGATCATTATTATGTCTTTACTATATAATTTGAAGACAGCCTTATTGTTTTATTTCTAAATTTTTCCTATTGTAAGCTTTTAGTGAATCTGTTGGCTGTTGTTGTACGTTTAACTTTTCTCTAACTATTGGTAATTAATTATGCACTGTTTTTTCTGCCTTCTAATATTCATGATATTATTGTGCTTAAAGTGTGATTTCTCATTAAATGTACTGTGTGATCAGGCATTTCAAGTGTATTACTGCATATTTTGAGTAACAATCGAATTGCGTACAACAGAGAATTGATCTGCTTTTTATCCGCATTTTCTAACTGGCTACTAGTTTAGAAGAGGCTTGAGGACCAATAAGCGTTAAGGTCTTGATTGTTGTTCATTAGTCAATATGCAAATTCATGAAATAGGCTACCGGTTCGACTGGTAATATAAAAGGTAATGTCGATTAGATGCCTAGAGCCATAGAATAAAAGCTTTCCCAAAGCATTAAAATCTATTTTAACTCAAATTAAAATCAAACACACGTCTTTTGTGCTATATAATCCAACTTGGTTAGGTATGACCCTACTACTACCTAGTTATTGAGTTCGAATACCACTCGGAGGACGGTAGTGTGCATACATTAATACTTTTCTCAGATTTCCATCTCGAAGTAAGAATACGAAAGCACCAAGTTCGTAGGTCGGGATTTTACTCGACATTTAAGTTTGTAGACAAAATACAGAATCCACAAGAAGTGCAAATTAACAGAATATTAGTGACGTTTGCTTTCAAGCAGAGTTTATCAGGCCATTCACTAAAACCAACGGATGAAGCAGCCAGACTACACAGTTATTTCAGAATAACCTTTTACACGCTTGATGTTTAAACTATTCAGCAAGCAATCAGAAATCTTTATTCAAATTATGTAGATTAAACCACATTTTAATCAAACTGTATGCATAAGCTGGATTTAACAGTTAACCAGGAGGCAATGACGTCCCCTCAACCTACTTATCGTCCGGAATAACCTAGTAAGCTGTTCCATTAACAATGACAAAGAAAACATGAAGTATTCTTATGAAGATAAGCACTATTTGAGTCCATCACACGATAGCATTAATCATAAACGCATACAATGATGACTGGTTAGCTAGGATTATAATTAGTTGTAAAAGCTGGAACTGAATTAATTGAAGAATCAAAGATATACAAAATTTACTTAGCACAATCGTCATTAATATTTAATCATGCTGTTCTGTTAATATTTTGTACAATAATGTTCTTTCATTAGAATAAAGGCCTATTATAGATAATGATATTGTTCACAATCTCAAATCATTCGGGAACATACCAATAATCTGGTCCCGTAATCAGTTATCACTCGGCTATTTCCTATAATTGTATTTTGTCTGTCAATTATTCTTTCCTTTCACTTTAGCAATTGAAAATTTGTTACACCAAACTATAAAATCAAAGTATATGATATCAAGGGACTATTGTATACCTTTTAAAACGTCATTTATCTTGACAGTTAGCAGGTCTCTAAGGATTCTGAACTTTAACAGCTTATACTTGGTCATATAAAGAAAATAAGAATATCACTTAGCATTCATTAACTACGCAGTATAGTTCAGTGACTCTTGAGCCAATAAGCAAGATAAATTATTTCTTAAATCTTCTCAAGAGTGTAATATCACGGTAGACTGATCTCACAATTCTATTAAGTGAAAAATTGTTTATAATGGTAAACAATACAAATAACGATTTATTTGTTAGATCTTGGTAATTATTAGTAAGATTTATTTTTAATCTTGGAGGGACCAAACCTCAAAACGCTAACAATACTAGATAAGTATCGTAATAAAAACAGAAGTATACTGATAATTAGTGAAATTTATAAATAGGGAATGCAAATTATCCAAGTGAAATAACTTTGGACTTATTCATAAAATCATCCAATAGCGTTAGATTACAAACGAATATGTTATTCAAAAAGGTACTTAATGTATGGGTCAAATTTGGTTTGTTGTGCTGTAATTTGGATACAAACCCTTAATATGGTTAACGATCAAATTAGGGCAGATAAGACTTACTGTCGGAAGAGTGCTCATCAACAACTAGCAGTATAATTTTACTGACATGGTGAAAAACGGTGTCAATTTTGGAAGTAGATAGAACGCCATTATCCTTTTCATCAATTAATAACTTGCAATTAGTCCAATGATCGTGGAGCTCTTGAATATGCCCAACTTGCAGCACCTGATTAGACTTTGACTTATGCATCATTTCATTGGTTGGTGCAAGACACTCATTTTTAAGATGTATCGGTTACTGATCCGAAAGCGTAATAAAACCACAAAAAATATGCACAATTACATTGATATTAATACATATTTGGCAATCAATAGAAACAAAAAAGGGAATTTCAAAATAACTTTGACACCTAAAACCTTGGAAAACGATATTAGTTAAAATTCAAGATTCTTCACGACTATACTTTTAATCACGTAAAACGACTGGAAAGTTATGATGCGTTAACACTGATGGAACAAATTAGTTTACATTGCTAAAATGATATACAAGCATTTTAAATACTTCTTCAAGTAAATTTAAACTGATTCAAGCACTTTATCATGACGTAGTTCAAACATCTATGATCTAACAATCGTATTATTAATACTAGGCTGCAGAAAATTTATATATATTTGACTGGCACTTCCTACAAAAATATCCCACGAGCGGATATCAACAGATAGTCTATAAATCAAAATCAAGTCACCGTTGGGTAGCTTGTATATCTGTTGAGTACAGCTCGAGTATAACGAATCTCTCTTGTGTTAATCGTGATCCTGTGTGGCTATTTCAGATGCTTGGAGGAACGAAACTTTTAAAGTACAATTGCTCTGCCGAAATTGTGTCAGCGGACTTAACAGCTAGACAAAGGTCAACATGTTGCAGCAATGAGTTACGAGGCTTAATTATGGCAATACGGCTACTACGACACCAAGTTTCACTAGACCGGATAAACCTTCTAGTCAAAACCGTGAAGAAAGAGGTAGTTTATAAGATAATTATGTTTTCTGGAAGCGACGGAAATATACTGAGGTCGGTAAATTAGGGGCGACTAAGTATACGAAAAACAAAATAATGCACGGAAAGTGAATCCAGCGAGTGAAATAGCCGTGTCACGTTCGTTAAACACCTCAGCATAGGGTTATGTGAACAATCGTAAGTACTTTCGGTGACACTATAATTTATGGACGACATTTGGTCGACAAAGAGTGTCTACCTACTTACTAGGGCTAAATGAAGGTTATAAAGCAGTTTGAAGAATGAGGATTACGATTCACAGTTGATGCTTAGAAATTAGACTTTCGGTTTTTCATCACGAACTGACATCAGCTAAAATGACAAGACGCTATTTTGCCAGATGTACGAGTGAATTCCGCACCAAAATCCGAGACCTATTCTCTTACAGCTGATTGGTTTGTACATAAAATATAGTCTCGCCGTACTCTCGTGAAGCTGTCTACTAAAGGAGCTGTCGTAAAATCATGAGTCCAACTGTTCCAACCACATTAGTTCAAGCTCTAAAACTAAGCTTGACACTGTTTAGTGTGCTAAGCATTAACGCTCACGACCAATAAGATTGAGGCAGAAGCCTAAGAAAAAACTACTCGATGAAAACATAAGAAACGAGCTTGATATAACTTATGAAATACTTTATACTCTTGCGAAAAAAGACGGTTTGAATTTAAGCCAATGAGGTAAACAAATACGGATAACTTTGAACTAATTTTAAGCAAACAGTGAAAGATGTTTATTTACAAGAACGATTTTTACCTTCAGAAAATGCTACAATATTATCTGATAGGCAGCTTTAACATGGACATCAAGCATTTGATAATAAACTTTGTTTCTTATCAAAACTGGAATCAGATAAAATGCGAAAATCAATGCTTGTAGAAAATGGATAAATTCACCTAAATTACTTTACTAATTTAAATCTTTACACTCGTCATAAAAAAGATGAAAACTAAAGCCCATGAATTTCTCTTAAGTACGAATCAGCTAGTTGACATCAATTAACTTAAATAAAATGTCTGAATTAGCCTTACATAGTGAGATGTCTTTATTTTTTAAGATACTAGTATTTATTTAAAAATGGAACAAGCTAACTCCCGACTCGTGTCGCTTGTCACTCCAACAGAGCGCTGACAGAGCACCAAGGTCAACCGAGAGTTATTCAATTTCCAATAGCCTTCAGTCTTCAGTAATAAGGAAAGTAGGTTGATGAACCTGTATTAATCGTGACACATTTCTGTCCAGTGAAGGTCCAGCTTCTCCTTGAAAATATTCATTGATGTGGCTGATACCACTTGTTCGGGTAAGGCGTTCCAATGATTGACTACTCGATGAGAAAAATGGGACCCTACTGGAAGTTTATTAGATCATGGTTTATGAACCTTCTTGCTATGACCTTGAAGATTATTAGTGTTGGAGGAAGCAAAGAGATAAGACATATTAACACCCAAATCATAATTAAAGATACGAAATGCCAGTATAAGGTCACCTCGTGTCCTACGATACGACAAGGGGAAAAGATTTAGGCATTTTAATCGCTCACCGTAAGGAAGTCTAGAAAGACCCTTCACTAATTTCGTTCCTACACGCTGGACACGCTCAAGGGAGTTAGTATCTTTTACCAGACATGGGCTAGCTGCTTGGATACAGTACTCTAAATGTGGTCTTACATATATGGTATATAAAATTCGAAACGTTTCCACGTCAAAAGATTTGAACGCTCGTCGGAATGACCATAACGCACGAAAACCTTCGACTGCGACAACTTTGCGATGCTCAGTTGTTTTTAAATCATGGCTTAATACTACTCCTAAATCTTTATGCTCTTGAACGCATGGAAGAGGTTTAGCCTAAATAGTGTAACGGTAGCTATTACCGTGACTGATGTGCATAAACAGAACAACACTGCTTCGAGTAAAAGGTTCTGGTAACTGATGACTCGGTTTGAAGACATGTATGCCGCTGTTACTTTGTTCGTCCTTGGCATTTCCACTCTCCTGCTATGTCCTCTAAAACTTCCTAATCTAGTAAGAAGAAAAAGGGATAATATGTTTGGTTCAAAACCATTTCTCAGTATTCTATACATCAAAATTGGATCACCTCTTAGTCTGCGACAAGACAGTGTAAAGAAGTCTAGCTTCTCAAGCTGCTCTTTATATAGTAAACCTCATAGTTCTGGGATTGCACGATCAGCTGCCATCTGTACTTTTTCCAAGATTTCTGAGTCAGCTTTTAAACAGGAGCTTGCAGCCTACGCGCAGTTCTCGAGCTTAGTTTTCACAAAGTTTGTGCATAATGTAGTGGACATGGTAATATCTGACTTATTGAATGTCCGTTTTAAAGTTCAAATGTTCTAAACTCAATCTTATCAAAAACCAAATTATATCTTCGTGTTTGGTTGTTGTTGCTTTGGAGTGAATCTGAATCCTCGATATCGTATAATGGGCGGTAGTCTAGCCATTTAATTGCGGAAGTTCTAGTCAGTTTGGTAGTTACCAATTTAGTTTGAAAATCTCGAGATTCGAGGGTGTGAATTCGTCGTCAGGCGTCACGGTTTCTGGACACCAGGAGCCATCACATTATCAGACCAGAAGTTAGTAGGTTTCAGTGTCAAAAATAATCATGTGATGATTTAAATGAGAAAAAATTTTAGTCTGGTGAGTTTTCAAAGATACACAAACAGACATATTAGCAACAAAAATATTCGGTTTTTAACTTTTTTTGTAGTAAATAAATAAATGTGTGCACGATAATTTTAAAACGCGAAAAAATCGGAATGAAACTAAATGCCATGTCGTATCCTGCGTGCCGTAGTGGTTTAAGTGTTCTGGATACCTTACTCTTCTCCCAGAACGCGTTGCTTTTAAGTCGGTTGGCAGATATCACTGAAGTGTGACCGTAATTGTTGATAAATGTGTGGGGTATTTAAATTGTGTGGCTCATATCGTTCGATTGTACTGAAGGAAAATTAACATCATTAATGTCTACTTCTAAATACGCGACTGTATGACAATCAATGTTGATTTTATCGTTAGTTCAATTCTTATTGACGATTTAGTGCTTGAGAGCACGCCGAAGAACTTCAAATGGTCCTTCATATGTCGTTTTGAGAGGCCGTCGAAATGAGTCCCAAGGTAAAAAGAGTGTGTACTGTATAGTGGGGCAGACTGAACGAAAATATAAGTTGACTGCGGTCGAGTGGAAACAGGTTTATCTAGACGCATGATCTTTGTAAACTTGGTCGTCTAAGAGATTAGGTCCACATTCATTCAAGAAGATGAAAGATCCAAGAATTCGTCCAGGAGTAAAAGTGTCATTCCATAGACGAGTTTTTTAATGATAATATATATTTGTGCATGAGCAGGTACACGCCATTTTTACAGGCATGATCTATAAATTACAACATTTGTTGGTTCACAAAATGCTTCGTAACTTATTGAGTTTATAGTTGTGACCTTGAGAGGACACGTACATCATGCTTGTTCCAAACGTCAGACGTTTCATAGCCATGCTCTCAGAGCAAGATTCTGAAGAACAAAAAAGAGAAACAGAAGAGCAGCAAGGCACTTGGTTATGAACGACAAACGTTGCTTAACATAGTGTAGTAGAACGGACAGAGGTATAATAAATTGGAATAAATTCATATTATCTCTTGTTATAGTGAAATGAAGTCAGAGGCTCCATATTTGAGAGTGCAGTAATGAAGAACAATGTGTTGTGTCGTTTAACGAGTTGTAGTAAGCTCACACGAAGGGAAGGAAGTCAAGGCTGGTACAAGGAAAGCGGTTTATTAGAAGGATGTGTATGTAGAGGGTGAAGTGTTAAGAATACTAATGACCATATCTTTTGTTGTCTAACTTTTTTCCTTCTTTGTTTATCCGATGCCAGCCAAACAATCCTAGTGTAAAAGTCCGAGTTAGCATGTTATAGGTTGTCTTAGTAGAATAGCTAATCCAGCATGATATTGGAAACGTGAGTCTGAGTGGTGAGCGTAGGAAAACAATCCATATCACAGATTGATTGACTTATTCTCAATCGTAAAGAGCCTGATACATACAAAGTGTTCTGCCCCCACAAACACGGGTGGATTGAAGTTATAGCCCTCACCATCAATGCTTGCTGGTCAGTAACTCCCCCTCCCCCCTTTTGTGATGTTAGGCTCATTTAAGCTTATTTTTGTACATATGTCATATCTCATCGGCGAATTTCAGGAAAGTTTGTGCATCGAAAAGCATGCGCGAAAATTCGTAGAAATAGAAATGGCTGATGGTTATGGTTTAAGGAACGTCGTCAGCAGTCATGAGAATTTGGTTATACGCCTTAACCAAGACGATTTTCGAAAAAAAGTCTTTACACTTCAAGGTAGCTGTCAACTCGTGTATGTGAGTCAACGGGTGTCGATCGGAAACGGTTTTCGCATTCAGTCGCCGATAGTCAACAGTTGGAAACTAATCGTTGCTATCGTTTTTATGGGTCATGTTCATTAGAGATGTTCATGGGCAGCTTCATGGTCGAAAGATTCCCAAGTCTATCATGTGGACGAACCTCAGCTTTTCTGAAGCTAGTCGGCACGCTCGCGAAAAATTCAATGGTCCTGTGGTTACGATGTGGTATGTAATACTGCTGGCAATTGGAATCGCGTTTGGTATAATTGAACTACTTATAAAAATATATGATGAAAATGAAACGATCATCTATATTACTGAGAATGGGGATAATCTACAATCGGAAAAAGGAGTTACACTAACTTTTAGTATGGTATTTCAGTCTGTTAACCCCACTTCACGCATGTCGATGAGTAGATTATATTGTTGCAGAGGGTCTATACCAATGAAACATCTGCAACAACGAAGATTCAGTGGGTTTTCTTGTTAAAACCCAAGTTAATATAATCATGTCGCTTACAATATGTAGCGACTGTATTTCCATTTGCCGTCTGTAAGTTAAAAATTGCTTCATGCAGTCACTCGTTGGAATTTGCAGGAAAAACGCTAACCAGTGTCGATGAGATAGAGAACTTTGATCATCACATCAGTAATGTTTAACAAACGACTTTTGTCGGTCAGTTAGAATTCCAATCCTTAGGATAGCCTTTCATAAGGTTTCACAGGTTTCCGAAGTATTACTAGTAAACACGCAAGTTGTGACGTAACTGTTGCAATCGCGTGGTAGTGCTCTCAATGCTGCGAGGAATAGGGTATGCGAATCTATCACGCCGTACTCGTGGAATTCAGCTTCTGAGTAGCAGACTAACTTAGTTGTTGAAAATCAGAAGTCGTATGTTAATTATTTGTGGTAGCGTATTCTTTACAACTTGGAAGGTTAAAATTAATCGTTTTTTAAAAGAATACAAAGTCTTTTTGTGATAGTACTTTATATGGAACTAGAGGAAAATGAGAACATCAGCAAAAGTTAAACTGTATGTAAGAATATTCTACAACAATTAATGAAGTAAACAAAAATGAAAGATCTTTAAATTGTATTATTATTTACTTCCTTACGCCTGTTACTCCCAATGGAGCATAGGCCGCCGAACCACATTCTCCGACCCACTCTTTCCTGGGCCTTCCTCTCCAGTTCTATCCAATTGTTGTTCATTCTTCTCATGTCTGTCTCCGTTTCTCGGCGTAATGTGTTCGTTGGTCTTCCTCTCCTCCTTCGGCCTTGAGGATTCCTTGTGACGGCTTGTCTTGTGACGCATTTGCGTGCTTTCATCAATGAGTGTTGCATCCACTTTCAGGGCTTCTTCCTGATTTCCTCCTCCTCTGGAATCTGGTTTGTTCTCTCTCACAGTAGGCTGTTGTTGATAGTGTCAGGCCAACGGAATTTTTTGCTTAAACAATTCTTAATAAACACTTGTATCTTCGGGATGATGGTTTTCATAGATCTCCAGGTTTCTGCCCCAGACAGTAGAACTGTCTTGACATTTGTATTGAAAATCCTGACCTTGGTGTTGGTTGACAGTTGTTTTTGTTCCAGATGTTTTTCAGTTGTAGATATGCTGCTCTTGCTTTGCTGATCCACGCCTTCACATTTGCATCAGATCCACCGTGTTCATCAATAATTCTGTCCAGATAAGTAAAGGTTTTCACATCTTCCAAATCTTGTCCGTCAATTTTGACTGGATT